CCCATCATAATCATCATATACTTTCTTCACTTCTCACTCACAAATTACTGAGCTGCACCCAACAGCAGAGGGAACCAGTACCCGTATGCCTGTTCAGGTGAACGTTAAGGATCCCATGACACTATTCAAAAAGAAAGGGAGTTTCTCTTTGTGTCCTGGCCAACAATCCCACAGATAAAACCAGTCATCCCCTTCATAATAAATAATAATAATAATCCTTGCATTTGATATAGTGCTTTTCACGTCTTCTAGACATCTCAAAGCGCTTCACAGAATATGCTGTAAAGTGAATTGACTGTATATTTGTGGGTGAAACGCGGCAGCTAATTGCGGACAGCAGTGTCCCACATTCAGTCATGGATTGAAAATGATCAATTTATTACTGTTTTGTTTTTTGGAGAGACTATTAATAGGCGTGTGGAGTAAGGAAACTTGCCCAAGGTTTCGTCCTGCCTGGAATTGAACCCAGGTGTCTCGCTTGCAAGGCGAGTGCTCTAACCACTGAGCCACAGGACTCCGTGGCTGATGTGATGTTGCTGTGTACAAATTGCTTGCCACGATTGCCGACAAAATACGCTATGACCACATTTTCCAGCAAATCCTGTAAAGCACTTTGAGACATCCTCCCAATGTGAAAAACGCTTTATGAAATAAAACGATTATTAGTATTATTATTATGTAGGTCTGGCCTGAGAATGGCCAGACCAAGTGGAAGTGATACATAGGCCTGTTTCAGGTTTTTATAATAATACTGTGTATAACCCAACCCGATTCCAAATATGCAACATGGAAACAATTTTGTGTGAAGGTCACACACTATGCCTGAGATCCTAAACCCATTTGCAACCAAAGTGTTTCTGTGCACCTCACGCTGGTTGTGTTGGGAATGGGAATTGTTTCATGACAACATTTAAAAGGGATTTGAATAGGGATCCAAAGTGAAGCAAAAGTAAGGGAGTAGGTGGCAAAAGAGACCCAAACTGGGTTTAGAGTATATGGCTCTAGTGGAAGAACTAGCACTAGTTCACTCTCAATGGGGCTGAGCTACCTTCCTGTGCTATGATCTCTATGATTCTGTGGTGGTTATTGAAGCCAGGACCTGAGATTCATGCTCAATGGGATCTAATAATTCTAGTGGGATCTCTGCTTTACCTTGATCTACCGCTTGCCACGAATTCCTTATTCATAATAAAAATAATAGTCCTTACATTTGCCTTATCCTGTCAAAACATCTCAAAGCACTTCAGGCAGTTTTCCAATAAATTATAGTGACTGGAGGGGAAAGAGCCAGCCAATCTGCTCACAGGACAATCAGCCGTGAAGTGAATGACCAATTTTGTTTATCTGGAGGATTGGTGGTCGAGTTACCGGCTTCTCTTTACAATCTTCAACATCGACCTAGACAGAGAGACGAGACCTCGGTTCAATGTTTCACTTCCGGCTCCCCCCACCACTACCCAATATGAGTTTAAAAGTCTGCGATGTGGTACTTCAACCCACAACCTCCGGAATCAGAAGCGAGAGTGCCAGCAACTGACCCAGGCTGATACCCCCCAAAAAGATCCTGTTGGGAATCACCACCTTTGCTGCAGGTCTGGCTTGAGAATGGCCAGACCAAGTGGAAGTGATACATAGGTCTGTTTCAGGTTTTTATGATAATGCTGTTGTATAACCCAACCCGATTTCAAATATGCAACATGGAAACAATTTTGTGTGAAGGTCACACACTATGCCTGAGATCCTTAACCCATTTGCAACCAAAGTGTTCCTGTGCAGCTCTGCAATATCAATGTGCATTTGCAACAACCTACATTGACAGAGTGAGCGCACTTCACATAGGATAACGTCTCATAGAGCTTGACGATGACCAGATCGGATGCCGAACAAGAGATAGAGGGAAGTGGGGAAAGGGAGGTGACCATAGACAAGGTTGAAAAACAATGAAAATTTATATTGCGCCCTTCATGTGGTGATAGTGTCTCAGAGATGCCCTTTTGCCATGAAAGGCACAATAATAAATGTAAGGATTATTTATCATATTTAGTAAAAAGACCGTAATTCTAGGCTGCTTTCACTAAAAGGGCAAAATAGGAAGGTTAGTCAGCCCCAGCCTCTACTCGCTCCCCTTAATAATTTAAAGCAGATCTTTATGGACACCACAAGCCTACAGGCATGAGATACAGAAGCATTTGTAGAGTTACAAGTCTGTCTATGTTGAGAAATAATCTATATACTAATAAAGGCAAAATGTCTGTCTGAAAACAAACAGAAGTGGCTGGAAACACTCAACAGGTCAAGGCAGTATCTATGGAGAAAGGAAAGTGAGTCAACCTTTCGGGTCCATGACCTGTTCTGACGAAAGGTTATGGACCTGAAACGTTGACTCACTTTTCTTTCTCCATAGATGTTGCCTGACATGCTGAGTGTTCCCAGCCACTTCTGTTTCTGTTTTCAGATTTCCAGCATCTGCAGTATTTTGTGTTTCGAAATGTCTATCTGTCTATCAAAGCAACAGCCAAGAACACAATAATCGATTGACATAGCGACATGATTTATTCTTCATCGGAAAGGTCTTGCATGGGGGAGTGTCAAAGACATTTATTTTTTCGGGTATCTCCTATCGTTGATGAGCTACATTAAAAAATGCTTTAATTAAACCCCCAAAAATGAATGGTATTCGGCAACAAAGTAGTAACAAAGGAAATCACATACCCTTCTAGAGAGATGCATCCATACCAAAGAAAAATGTCTGTGTCTGCCTTCCAATAACCCAATAACCGATCGACGTAGAGACATGATTTATAGCTAATCGGAAAGGTTTTGCATGGGGGAGTGTCAAGGGCATATTTGTTTGACAGGGGCTTCCTATCGTTGATGAGCTATGACCTAAACAAGCTTATCACAAGTGTATGGCAGTTTTGCTTAATGTGTACAATGTGTTTATGGCATGTTAAATGGTTTGTGAGTGGTACCACTGAAATCTATATTCCATATTGAATCTTTTGGTTGCAAGCATAGCTGCAGTGGGTACAGCAAGTACAATACTAATTAGAAGAATAATCCTTGCATTTGATATAGCACCTTATCACATAATTGAGACATCTCAAAGCGCTTCACAGACTATGGTGTAAATTGAATTGACTATATTTGGTAGTGAAACGTGGCAGCCAATTGCACGCAACCATGTACCACAAACAGTCATGGTTTGAGTGACCAAATTATTATTTTTTTGAATGGATTATTACACCTGAAAAGCGATTCGCCAATCGATTAACAATAACTACTTATTGATAGATAAACAGAGGCATGTAGAGTAGGGAAACTTGCCTAAGGTTTTGCCCTGCCTGGGAATCAAACCCAGGTCCTCTCACTGCAAGGCAAGTGCTCTAACCAATACACGAAAGGACTGGCATGGAGAATGTGACTAGAAGGAACGCTAGGAGAGAGATTTATGATCACAAGCAGTGAGACATAATTGCAAAAGCTGTCTTTATCTTTAAGAACGACACAAAAATCATGAAAAATACAGCACAGGAGGAAGCCATTTGGGTGACAAATCTATCTGTGCTGGTGCTAACAAGACTTAATCCCAATTCCCTGCTCTTTGCCCATTCCCTTTTATGCTGTTCATTTTCAAACGTTTATCCAATTCCTTTTCCAAATGCTGTGATGGTTTAAGCCTCAACAGCTACTTTGTGGCAAAGTGCTCTAAATTCTAATACAACAACAACAACAACAAGATTCCATTTATAAAGCGCCTTTCACGTCAGGAGGACGTCCCAAGGCGCTGCACAGTTGGGTCATGACCCGAGCAGGGGGAAATGGTCAGGGTGAGGGGAGGGGAGGGAGCGAGGAGGGGGGAAATGGTCAGGGTGAGGGGAGGGATGGGAGGGAGCGAGAAGGGGGAAGAGAGTCGAGAGGGGAGCTGAAGGCTCGGTCAAAGAGAAAATACAGTACTCTCTCTGTGTGAAATAGTTTATTCTAAACTTTCTTTAACTCGTCCAGTTCATGCATTTCAATCCAAACTAAGTGAGTCTCCCTCTCAAAGAGCAAAAGGTGATAGCTCTGTTCACGATTGATTTACAGAGCAAAAGAATGCAATTCTCTAAAATAATTCTTATGTTTGATATAATGCCTCGTCACATCATCAAAACATCTCAAAGTGCTTCACAGGATTTTACTGTAAAGTGTAGTGTCTGTGTATTTGTAAGTGAACACTGCAGACTGCTGTTATGTGAATAAATAGAAGTCCCTTAACATAGTAGCATAGTGTATAGCGCGCTCACTCAATCCACGACTGTTTGTGGGACACCGCTGTGCAGAATTGGCTGCCACTTTTTGCCCAGAAAATACACAGTCAATCTACTTTACAACATATTCTGTAAAGCGCTTTGAAGCGTCTTGAAGATAATAATAATTCTCATAAGAGGACTCATTTCACACTCATTTGCAAACCCCTTCTAGCCCTGGCACCTCCCTACAACCCTCCGACCTGCTTACTCCACAATCCACTACACGCTGCCTCCGTTCAACTGGCTCTGGCCTCCTGTTTGTCCCTTGTGTCCTCTGTTCCACCATCGGTTGGCCGCGCTTTCAACCACTCTGCCCCAAAACTCCACGCTTTCAACCACTCTGCCCCAAAACTCCACGCTTTCAACCACTCTGCCCCAAAACTCTGGAAGACTCTTCCTCTATGGCCCCTTCCTTCCCCATCATCAGGTTGCGCCTTTCTCTTCGACCTTCCTCTTCGACCATGCCTACTGTCACCTCACCCCCCTCCCTCCCCCACCCTCCCCTCGGTGCCATGCCCCACCACTGTCCAGCGCTTGGAGAAGCTGCCCTGCCCGTGAAGGGCGCTACGCAAACTCAAGTTGTTGTTATTATTAATCCCACAACTTTCTGGCTGAAATACCAGCACAAGGCAAATCCTTGCTAACCTTTTGCTCTTGAGGGGGAGGATGGGGGGGGCGGGCGGGGGGGGCAGTGAAATCTCCTCTTACCAGTCCATTGCAGGCACTGAGAGCGACCCTGCCACCTCCCAGGGCTGTGTGGACCACACTCCCAACGAAATGACAGGCGTTGTGTCCCACAGGCTGCACGCTGCCGCTGGTCAGGTTCCCCCACCTTTGCTCGGAGATGTAACCAGGGGAGAGAAGGAGGCGATTGAGGGTTAAGTTGAACAGCAGATCTTTCCCTTGGTGGCTGATCTTGTAGTAAATCTGCTGCGATGGGCTGCTGACATCTCTCCTTCGCAGGCGGTGGAGGAACTGGGTTACTCGGTTCGACAGCAAAGCCCCTGTTTGATCCACTTCCACCGGGTGAACGACTTGATAGTTGTGCAAACTCCCCATGAACTTTTCTACAGGGGCCAAACAGAAAAAAAAAGTTGTTATATTTTCACAAGTAAGTCAAACGCCAAACACACAGTGTTAACACCCTCCCCCTTTTCCGCATCCCCATCCTCCCCCCATCCTTTTTTTTACTGAGAAATTAACTTTTAAGAAGTTTCTACAACTTTTTAGAGACTTGGTGGGGAGGGGGGGGAAGTTGAGTTAAACATCAATTGCAATTGAATTGGAGGGATATGTTTACATATATATATGTGTATATATATATATGTGTGTGTGTGTGTATGTGTGTTATATGTCTCTTAAAATGGAAATAGATCCTAAAATCACAAACCTTGCCTCTCATCTGCAAAATGAAAGTCTCCCAACCAAACAGACCCCTGGCTTAGAGCCAGCAAAAGCATTAGAAGAGAGACACACAGCATGGCTCCATTAACAGTTGCATCAATGTGATTTAGAGGCGAGAGGTCCCCCCTCTATGAGCTGATCAGAAAAGAACAGGGGTGCATTGGGCAGAGAGAGAGAGAGAGAGAGAAGAGGAGAGTAAGTGAGAGAGAGAGAGAGAGAGAGAGAGAAAAGCAGGAAGAAGTGGAAAGTGGAAGGAATCTAAGTTGTTCTTGTGATCACCAAGAAAAACCAAAAGAAACAAAAAGTCAGCGATTGCTGAAAAAAAGGGGGAGTGAGAGAGAGAGAAAAAAATTGAGCGTCTTATTTCTTGAAAGAGGGAGGGTTCAATAACTTAACTGCCCATGGCAGTCTCTCAGTAATTCCTATTTACAGAAATGTATGTGCATTTTTTTTGGCAGATGTGTACATGTTAATGCATGTACACAATCTAGTTTCTAATGTCAATCTAATCTCAAAGCAATAAAGCCCATGTGGCCTGCAAAAATGTAAAGTTGGGATAGATTTCTTCCCAAAAAAAATTTGGTCACTCAACACAAGACTGATTGTGGAACACTGCTGTGCGCAATTGGCTGCGACGTTTCGCCCCCAAAATACAGTCAATTCACTTCACAGTATATTCTGTGAAGAGTTTTGAGACGTCTCGAAGATGTGATAAGGCATTATATCAAATGCACCAGAGAGGGAAGTGACAGATCTTAAATCCAGTCTGCAGTTGAAAGAAGGGAACAAAAACAGAAATCGCTGGGAACACTCAGCGGGTCAGGCAGCATCTATGGAGAAAGGAAAGTGAGTCATTGTTTGGGGTCCACAACCTTTCGTTCTGACTTTTCGTTCCGACAAAAGAGTTGTGGACCCTAAACATTGAGTTACTTTCCTTTCTCCATAGATGCTGCCTGACCTACTGAGTATTCCCGGCGACTTCTGTTTTTGTTTCAGATTTTCAGCAGCTGCAGTATGTTGTGTTTTGAAAGAAGGGAGTTTGCCACAGTTCTGGATAAGAGATCAGGTTCCACATTCAGACAGGAATTAAGAATTCACCAAGTTTGATGTTGCACTGAAGACAGACTGATGTATTTCGGGGCCTCTTGAAGGGAGATGGGTATAGCAATTGCAAGCTACAGTATTAAACTTTTAAATGAGTGTGGCTTTTTTTTAAAAAAAAGGCTATGGATATCAGAGTCCTGCATCATTGGTACAGGCATTTTATTTGCATTTGCGTTTTATATATACACACCGAAGTATATGCATTAATCGAATTTGCATTATAATTTGTATACAATATATAAAATTATATATTGTATTATATCTAAATATCATTGAATTTAGTATTAGTATTATTTAAATGTTAATGATTAAAAGTGTTATAATTATTAAAATTTTAAACGATAAGAATTTGACAGCGTATATACTATATATGCAAATTAAAATGTAAATGTTAAATGTATTAATTATATAATGTTTGCATTTGCATTTTAATAATATTTGCATGTTAAATGTATTTAATATTATATATAAACATTTACGTTTTACATTTAAATTATATATATGTCATATACAATTATATATGTCGTATGTAATTATATATAATGCAAAGTGTATAAATGTTATAATTATTAAAATTTTAAACTATAATAGTTTTAGGGTATATACTGTATAAATGTATTTATTATATAATGTTTGCATTTGCATTTTAATAATACTTGCATTTGCTTGTTAAATGCATTTATTATATGTAAACATTTACGTTTTACATTTAAATTATATATATTATTTGTCATATATAATTATATATAATGCAAATTAAAATGTAAATTCGGAACAATACAATATTGCTTTCACTCGCCTTTTGTTATGTATAGCACAAGCCGGGGTTTTTAATTTGAAACGTCTTTTATTTCACCAACACTGCTTACTTGCAACTTTCTCCCATGTTTTCAGCAAACAAAACATGTCTGTTTCCTGCGCCTGACAGCAGCTGTGCAAGTTACAGCTTAAATCCAGCTCAATCACATCACTCACACACTCACCCCTTGTGTGTGGACTTGGAGGACGCGCCCTTGTCGATTTCATTCAGTCAAGTCTGATCTCAAAACCTACCCCCGCGGCACAACACAAGCCAACAGATACCATGCAAGACTGGCTTGGATTTCCACAGATGAGTGCAAGTCCACCCTGTTTCTAAGAGTGTTTTAGAAGGTGGGGTGGGTGGGGGGGGAAGGCATTTGCAAGCCTTAAAACTCACACCCCAAAGGCACAACTTGTTAAAGATGTCATTTATCATTCGGAAGCCAAAGCCCAACAATGATTAAACTAAAGTGATGTTTGCACTGGCAATTAAATAGCAACACTCCCACAAATACACAGTCAATTCACTTTACAGGATATTCTGTGAAGCACGTTGAGCTGTCTCAACAACGTGATAAGGCGCCATGTGAAAAATGCAAGGATTATTATTATTGATGTACTCGTGCCCGCACACAAAAGCACCAAAGACCTGTTTTTGAACTTCTAAGTTCAACTTCTAATAATATTAATATTATAATAACTTAATATATATATTACAACTTAATAACCTAAATGAGGCATTGAATCGTAACCTCTGTTTTGTTAGGAGGATGGACATTGCAGGCAATCCCTGACCTAGTTATTCTCCTGGAAATAGCTGACAAACACGAGGCCGAGTTACCTAAATACAATTGAAAGAGGAACATAGAAATTGCTAGGAGAAAGAAAATTAAAGTACATCCAGTTCGCCTTCCACATTCCTGGCCGTCACATGCACGCTGCCATGTGCCAAACTATAAACATACTGTATCCCGAGATATCATTTCCTAACAGAAATCTACCCAATTTGATCTTGAAAGAATCAACACTTTCTGCTTCCACCGTCTCCTTGGGAGCCTGTTCCACATTTACTACCGGCTCAGTGAAATAGTGTTTCCACATAAGAATACTCCTCCTCATTTAACCCTTCGATTGCCCGGTGAACCCCTCCCCTCACCCCCGTTTCAAAATGTGTGCAGAGCAACTTATTTATCATACATTTCCACAAAGGGAGGGAATGCTTAAGTCCAGTGCAAATCCATGTTACCTTTTATTTTGGCAGAAAGACCGATTTGCAGGAACCATTTCTGATGCTCAAATAACTTAANTTTTTTTCAAATTTCTTGCCAGATGCAAATCAAAAATCTTTCCGCCTTCTAATAGGACAAATTGGAAGACCATTTTATTTGCATTTTATGTTTTTTTTTTGTATTGCGTTTTAGTTATCCATATAAATTTTGGACGCAAAAAGAATAGGAATATTAACCCTTGCGTTTGATACGCCGCCTTTCAAGTGGGGAGGATGTCTCAAAGCGCTTCACAGGATTTACTATAAAGTGTAGGGAATTGCATGTGTAGGCCCATGCGGCAGCCATTTTTCGCTCAGCAATGTCCCCCAAACAGCCATGAAGTGAATGACCCATTTTAAATGGGGAATTGTTGGCCAGGACACAGAGAGAAAAGAGAAACTGCCTTCTCTTTTTTGGAAAGTGCCTGGAATCTTTAACATCCGCCTGAGCAGGCTCCCGGGTTCTCGGTTTTAATATCTCATCCAAAGGATGGCATCTCTGACAGTGCGACACCCCCCCCAATACTGTACTGGAGTATCAGCCTAGACCACGTGAGTTCAAAACCCTGACTTGGGGTTGTGAACCGACAACCTCCTGACTCGGAGGTGAGAGTGCTACAGTGTTAACTGAGCCCCTCTGTTGTCTTAATCAATCACTTTTGAAATCGTAGAGGCAGACCTGTGAAAGGCACAAGTGTCAGTACCAGAGGACTTACATAGCTGCACTTAGTGAAAGGTAAGCCCCTAGAGCTGTGTTACAGAAACATTCACTGCGTTGGAAGAACTGAGAAAGTACTGTTTTGAAGGACTTTACAATCTCGCACAAGGACTTTCCAGATAGCTAATTATGCCAAGGTAGATTGAAGTTACAGCCAAGTAATATTCGAAGCAGCTAGGAGTAGACGTGAGCACTCTCATGAATTGAGAGTAGGAAAAGAAATCAATTTAACCAGGTTTTCAGAAGCTCACGTAGCATCTACACTTATAAAAACAACCACATCAAGTGGAGTTCTGTAGCTTAGGGATTGGAGCACTTGCCTCGCAAGCGAGACAACCTGGGTTCGATTCCCGGATAGGGCGAAATGTTGGGCAAGTTTCCTTAATCCATACGTCTGTTAACCTAGCTGAAAGTAGGTTACTGGCTGTTAATCGATTGTCGGATCGCATTTCCGGGGTTAATGATTCATTCAAAAACCTTTTTTTAAAAATAATTATTTGGTCACTCACTCCACGACTGTTTGTGGGACACTGCTGTGGCTGCTGCATTTCGCCCACAAAAATGTTCCTTGTACGTCTCCCGAAAATACACACACAGGTAATTCACTTTACAGTATATTCTATGAAGCGCTTTGAGGCATCTCAAAGACGTGATTAGGTGCAATATCAAATCAAGGATCATTATTATCAAATTATACTGGTGTCCATTCTTTAGTGGGAGTAATCCACTGAGGTGAGTGAAAGCTAATGCTCTGAGCCACACTGATACTTTATTGACCCATTTAGTTACTGGCTATTACTTGCATCTTGAACCGAAATCGATACGTTAGAGTCATCTGGAGGCGATTGGGTGGAAGTGCAGGTAATCTGCAGTGGAAATTGGAAATAGAGAGATTGTTGGCTGGAGATTTGCTTCAGGGGGAAAGAGAGAGAGAAAAAAACTCCACCTGAATCCAGGCTTAAGACTGTTTTTTTCCTTAACATTTCTGAATGGGCACATTATTATTATTATTATTATTATTATTATTATTATTATTATTATTATTATTATCCTGAAGCCAGTTTTACTGTAGGCTCTTAAAAGAACCCAATTAATTAAGACTGAATTCAAGACTTTTCCAATATTTCACACCTGCTGAAACTCAACAACATATTATTTATATATCCAGATCCAGGTACTCAGATGGATTTTAAACTCTCTCCAAGTTAACTTAACCCTCTCTCCTCATTTGGTCTCAAAAAATGGGACGGAATTGGGGGAGTTTTATTATTATTATTATTATTATTATTATAAAGCATTTGCAAAAGACATTTGCCACAATAATATAAATAGAGCAGTTTGTGCTCAAGCGCTTTTGCTCAGTGAGTTGATATGTTTTCTATTGTCACAACTCTTCAGTGTGTAAAGTTTCACAGGAACTCTTTTACCTGTGAGTGGAGCATTGGATGATTTCAGTAACACTCTCGGTTCATCCTATACCTTTTCTCATCCTCTCTCTCCCACACCCCCACTCTCTCTCTCTCTTCTCTCTCTTCCCCCTCTCTCTCTTCCCCCCTTCTCTTTCTCTACCCCTCTCTCTCTCTTCCCCCCTTCTCTCTCTCCCCCCCTCTCTCTTTGCCCTCTCTCTCTTCTTCCCCTCTCTTCCCCCCTCCTCTCTCTATTCCCCTCTCTCTCTCTTCCCCCCCTCTCTCCCCCCTCACTTTCTACCCCCCTCTCTCTCCCCCGCCTCTCTCCCCCTCTCTCTCTATTCCCCCTCTCTCTCCCCACCTCTTTCTCTTTCCCCCTCTCTCGTCTTCCCCTGTCTCTCCCCCACTCTCTCTATTCCCCTCTCTCTCTCCTTTCCCCCTCTCTCTCTTCCCCCTTTCTCTCTCCCCCCACCCCCTGCCCCTCTCTCCATTCTCCCTCTCTCTCCCCCCCCCACCTCTCTCTCTCTCTAAGAATCTCGTCCATCTCAAAGAAAGAATAGCTATCTCGTTATTGGGCTCATTTATTGCTTTTAATCTTTATTTGCAATCTTATCTTTGGAAGTAATCCGAAAAGTATGAGGCGGGGAACCGTCCGTGGCCCTTTGAATTGGGGAGGTTATCCTTTGGCATTGCGAATGGGGCAAACGTGCGCTGTGAGAGGTCAAACTGCAGCAATAGCACAGACTGGCTCCCTGTCCCTCACCACAGCACCTCACACTCAAGGTGACACTGAAAGCGACACTGAACCCTTACAGTGTCATACACGATCTCCATTCTCCTCACCCACAGCCTTAAAAGGGGGTGAAAATTCGGTATTCGATGTGATAACTATCACAAGCGATTATCATCACAACACACGTGCATTTTCACCCAATTGTTTCCTCCTTTCACTATCATCCACTCCCCTCTCCTGACTTTCTCCAGTAACTTTCGGCTTTACCCCCCCACCACACATACACACACAAACCACATATATAGTATATATTATATACAGTGTATATATATATATTTATATATAAATTCTGGTTTCCCCCCCTTTCTCTTGTGTTTTGTGTGTCACACAACATTGTCTGGCTTTCTCACAAAGAGAGAGAGAGAGAGAGAGTGAGGGAGGGAGAGAGGGAAGAGAGAAGGGCTATTTTAAGAGATTCATTTTAAAAAACATAAACATTTTTTTTTGTAAAGCTGTGGAGACAGGCGATTCAGAGTGTCCTGCCAACGTCCCGACCACAAATCTCCATCATTGGGGTTCCTTCAACAATAACCCATCTCTCCTTCGCGTCTTTCACACAGTCAATACCCAAGTGAAATCATTACCCAAGTGGATTTGAACTTGTTCTGCCTTATTGCCAAGACACTGCTGCAGCGCTCTGTGCAATTATATTGAAAGCCCATTTATTTCCCCACTTTATTGAGTCTGTCGAGCACTCGGTTGTTGTTTCTGTTCACGCTGCACTTAAGTGTTAACGGCAAAGACTTGATGGGTAGCGATTTCACAAACGTTTTACATTTTAGTTAGCGCCTTCACACTCAGTCTGTAATACTGTCTGTGTCACCCACTTGGTCGGACAGGACGGGACATTAAACTAAAACCATAAAAGATTTGCACATTTTAAAAGAAAAACATCACATCGAAAAATAAGCCAATTGTATAAAGGGCAGAACTTGTATGAAGCCAATTCTCTACCCTCAAAACGACAGCCTGTGTTTAAACTAACCAAGACTATTTTCGCCCACAAACCACACTTTACAGTGTATCCAGTGAAGCGCTTTGAGACGTTTCGAAGACCTGATAAGGCGCTATATCATAAGAACAGGAAGAGGCCATTCAGCCCTTCGAGCCTGTTCCGCTATTTAATTAGACCATGACTGGCTGATCTACACTTCAACTAATCCTTTCAATTCCGATTTCCTGCTTTCTCCCCAAATGCAAAGGATTATTATTATTATTATTTTAAGGCAGTAACTTTCATACAAAACAGATGGTCGGTGTGAAAGCGCTTCCACTAAACATGAATTGTGATGTTTTTGGTTAACATTGTGGGTTTGGAAAACTTCTCTCCCAAGTTCAGAAATATTTAGGTGATTGTTTGTTTGTTTGTTTGTTTGGGGGAAAGAAATCTACTGGCTATTGTGAATCTCAAACACAGCAGTGATCAAGATGAACTCCCCTCCCAACACACCACTCACATCATTTAGCTGGTTGGGAACTTTATACCACTTTGAGAATTTGCTATGTTAGTATGTCCTGGTAGAGTTGGGAGTTGGGAGTGGGGGGGGGTGCGGTGGGAGGTGTGGGTGGTGGGAATGAATAGGGAAGGGAAGAGGGGGAAACGGGTGATTGTTAACAAAGATGAAGGCAAAAATAAACAAAAGGCAAAAATAAACAAAAGGCAAAAATAAACGCCCAGAAGACGTGAAACCACTATATCAAATGCAACGATTAATATTATTATTATTATTCCCTGTTTCGAACATTTGCACTGTGTATTTGTTGGGAAACCTGCCTTGTACCTTGAATGTCTCCTGAAAATACACACACGGGTAATTCACTTTACAGTGTATGCTATGGAGCGCTTTGAGACGTCTCAACAACGTGACACGGAGTTATATCAAATGCAAGGATTGCAATTATTATTATAGTTATCTCTCTCCACACCGGACAGACCGTATGTTTGACCATACACCAGTTTGCAATCCTTTCAGTTCCCATGGATACACTTACCTCTTTCCTCTGAAACCACTAGCAATGAAGTGATGGGACATGTTCTGATTGATACCCTTTGCCTATTTGCCTCGTTTAACACTTAGCAAATCTGCATCTAACCTAAAATATTATTTTTTACATCTTATACTTGCATTGCAACTCATATAGAGAGTCATATTCAATACACCTGAACACACATATATATACATATATATAAATATGGAAAATATAGCTATACATACATATAAAATACATGTAATAAGACAATCTACACATCACATATACATTATAAATATATGATGTATATGTATATATAATATCTTAAATTTCAAAATACAGACCTCTTTTGAGAGTTTCTTTATTTTCTTCTGATTTTACATATATTCTTTTAAATCACAAATTCACATGTGTGTGTATTCTTCTGTTAAATCACCGTATGTGTCCGCTTTCGACTCCCCAAATCGATGATATTTAGCTTTAAAGCCACTTTGGGAGACGTTTCGAAGTGAATGCAGATCACTTATTTCAAACGTTATTTTTAGAAGCGACTCAGCTTTTTCCGACGCGAGAGTCATTATGATGGTGAGATATTAGATATTAGCATTAATGTGCAATGACACTGTCTGTCTTCCGAGGGGGGGGGGGGACACATCCCAATAGAGTGAAGGAGACCCCTTCACAGTGAGTGAGTGAGTGAGAGTGAGTGAGTGGGACTGAGACACAGAACGGTGCAAACAGTGAGTGAGTGCAATGTGGATGCAAAACTGAGTTGCAATGCAATCTCTACGACCCCAAACCGCAGTCATGCGAGGGGATGCATTGCTCAAAACACCCCCCCAAAAAAAAAAAAATCTCACCCAAAGCATCTCCCGTTTAAGTGAAATTGGCATCACTGTCAATCCCTGGGCAATGCTGAGTGGAGAGGACGCATGCGTTCCCCTGAACTGCCCACTTGTCGGTGTAATGTGACGGTGGCGAACGATGGGGTCTATATAAAGAGGTGATCGTTGCTCTGGGGGTGGGGGGGGGTGTGTGTGTGTGTTTTTCTCTCTCTCTCTCTCTCTCTCCTCTCTCCCTTCTCTCTCTCCCTTTTTCCTTCAGAAGATGAATCCGGATAAACGCTGCCGCAGAAAGCGATCCGCCACTCCGGACGCCCCCAAGCGCCTGATCATGGGCTGAACGCGCCCTTACACCGCCCGTCCACCGGAACACTCGTTTCACTTGGGAAGGGGGAAGGGGGAGGAGCGGGTAAGTCTGCGACTCAGAGCCATGGTAGAGAGGTACAGAGCTGAGATGTTTCCCAACCTTTTCCTGGATCGAAGCAACACCTACAACAAGACCAACCAGACTCTGGACGAGTTGATGCCCTACCTGGAGATGGACGGGTCGGAGGTCCACAGCGAAGGGTGGCCGGCTATGTCCATAGTCATATCCATCGTGTATTCGATAGTTTGCGCCCTGGGACTGATTGGCAACGTGCTGGTCCTCTACCTGATGAAGAGCAGGCAAGGGTGGAAAAAGTCCTCCATCAACGTCTTCGTCACCTGCTTGGCGGCCACCGATTTTCAATTCGTCCTGACCATGCCCTTCTGGGCTGTGGACACTGCCCTGGATTTCAGTTGGCCCTTCGGCAAGATGATGTGCAAGATAGTCATCTCGGTGACCGTCATGAACATGTACGCCAGCGTCTTTTTCTTGACCGCCATGAGCATCGTCAGGTACTGGTCGGTGGCTTCGGCTCTCAAGCCCAGAAGGCAGCCTCTCGGATGCTCGGCCAAGTGGATGAGCGTCTTGATCTGGGTCTCGGCTCTGCTCGCCACCATCCCCAGCGCTATCTTCTCCACCACCTCCAGGATCGCCAACGTGGAACTGTGCCTGGTCCGCTTCCCGGATGACAACAACTCTTCCCAGTTCTGGATGGGGCTCTACCACATCCAGAAGGTCCTGCTGGGCTTCGTCATCCCACTGGGAATCATCACCATCTGCTACTTGCTCCTCTTGCGCTACGTGACCAACAAGAACGTCAACTCCTCCAGCACCAAAAGGAGGTCCAAGGTGACCAAGTCGGTCACCATCGTGGTCCTGTCTTTCTTCCTCTGCTGGCTCCCCAACCAGACCGCAACTCTCTGGGGCATTTTGGTCAAGTTCAACGCGGTTCACTTCAGCTCCGCGTACTACACGCTCCAGGTTTACGTCTTCCCAGTCACCGTGTGCTTGGCTCACACCAACAGCTGCCTCAACCCCGTGCTGTACTGTCTGATGAGGAGAGAGTTCAGGAAAGCCTTGAGGAACATGTTCTGGAGGGTGACCTCTCCCACCACCACCACCAACATGCGCCCCTTCACGGCCACCACCAAACCCGAGAGAGACGATCAGAGACATTCAATGACCCCCTTGAACCCGATTCAACCCGAAATCTTGTACTATCCCCCAGGAGCAGTCATCTACAACAGCCACTATGACATCTTACCAGCCAACTCTACAGAACAGCGATACTAGAGGGAGAGGGAGAGGGAGAGAGTGTGTGTGTGCGTTTCAGAGAGAGAGAGAGAGGGAGAGAGTGTGTGTGTGCGTTTCAGAGAGAGAAGGGGAAGAAGTGAGAGAATGTGTGTGTCTCAGAGAAAGGAGAGTGTGTGTGTCTCTCTCTCTCAGAGAAAGAGAGAGGGAAAGAGTGTATGTCTCTCTCTCAGAGAAAGAGAGAGGGAAAGAGTGTGTGTCTCTCTCTGAGAGAAAGAGAGAGGGAAAGAGTGTGTGTGTCTCACTCTCAGAGAAAGAGAAGGGAAAGAGTGTAGAGTGTGTGTCTCTCTCAGAGAAAGAGAGAGGGAAAGAGTGTGTGTCTCTCTTTCTCAGAGAAAGAGTGCATTTGTGTGTGGGTGTATGTTTCAGAGAGAGGGTGAGTGTATCAGAGAGTGTGTGTGTGTGTGTGTGTGTATGTATGTCTTTCAGAGAAAAAGAGAGTGTGTGTCTGTCTCTCTTTCTCAGAGAAAGTGTGTGTGTGACTCTCTCTCTCTCTGTCCCTGAGGATGAACGTTTAAATGTCCCAGTTTTCAGAGGACATGATATACATTGTGATTTTCATCAGAAAAGCATAGAAAAACAAGAGAATCCGCAAAGAAATGCAATGCAAGAGAGCTTTAATTTTTAATGCGTAAGTGTTTTAATTTCATCTGTTGGTTTATTTTGCACATTTTAGTGGGAGCGTATGGTGGTGGGGGGGCGAAGTGCTGCGAATCGCGCGTTATCTGAGGAGGTGTCAGGGTTGGATGTAGCACGGTGCAGGGATAGGGGGAAGGAAGGAAGAGAAGTTCTCTGGTGGGGTTTCGTGGGTCGGTCCAGGCTGGGAGACCTTTCCCCAACACTGAGACTGAGTTAACAACAGACGGAACACCAGAATACACGAGTTATTGCACTTTCAAATTGGGAGAAAGTCACTCTCTCTCACACACACACACACACACACACACACAACCTGGTAAAGTAGCTTCTGGATAGAGAAGAGTAAGGAGAAATGGCTTTACAAGATTTTTTTTTGGGGGGGTAGGGAAATTCACCGCCCAACGCAAACTCAAAACTCCACTCATTCTAAAGTGCTCCCGAGTTTTTGAGGAATAAGTGAAATTGAACCTTTAATCTTTTTCTTTAATTCTTCTTTGAAGCAGTCGTTTTCTGTAACTGAACACACACACACACACACACACACACAGGAGGAGTGGAAAGAGATGGCAATAAGTGACGAGCTGACATAATAATGCACACTTTTTTTTAAATCGACAGATAAATGATATTTTAGCTCACTTTGATGACTTGACTTGTTAAGCCGGTTTTGTGATCAGCCTTTTGGGACCAGAGATGTGTGGGTTTCTCTGTATCAGAGTCACGCCTCTGGGTTAATGAGTGAATGAAGAGCAACGATGCGAATGATTAACTCTCTGTACATTTCACCTCTTGTTTTTAACCTCTTCCTCCTTTCTCTTCATCCACCCTTCTCTCTTCCCCCAAACTGCATCTCTCAAGAGGCAAACCCCCAATGTTCACGTCCTTCCAACCTGAAAGGCGCTATACAAATGTACTTTGTTGTTGGTGTTATTTATTGCCTATCATTCCATTATTATTGGGAAGGGCAATCAATAGAATAATGACTTTTTAAATAAAACACAAAGCAACTAATATTTCTAAACTGCACTCACAACCCTGTTGTGTGTGTGTTGTGTATGTGGATGTTTTGCAAGTTAACTTTTTACTGTGCATCTAAGAGTGTTGATAATGTACAGTCGTTTGAAGTTGTATCTTGTTATTTCTTCGATTCTGCTGCGTAAATATCCATTTGTCCCGTGTTCTTGTAACGGCGACTTGGTTTTGCATCCAATTCACGTTAGCGTGTTGAATTCAAAAGTATTTTGCTGGATATTTTTTATGTTATTACACATCTACTACCAACACCCTCCCTCCGAGTCTCCTTTCACCTCCTCACTTCATATTGTACAAACTTAAGCTCTTTTGTTTTTAAAAGAATGCAGTTTCCAGTTTAATGTAAATATCATCCAATCCACACTGATGGCTCTGGGAAGATATATAAACAAACAAATAACCCTTACGGAATATCTTGTGTTGTTCTGAGGGTTGAATTGATGATTTCGATTTTAGAAGCATTCATAAATAATGTCAACATGTTGTGAATCACAGCTGATGTGTGTCATTTCTTTCTCTCTATTGATTGCTTTGGCTATTACAATTAAATAGAGATCAGTGGTGTTTCAGTCGCTGCTTTCTCACAGGAGATGCTTTTCAATGCAATTTCTTGAATGGAGAAACTGCGAGGCTTGATGCACCCTCAAGAGCAGGAACTGCAATTGTACAAGGGAGGAGATTCACTGAGTATAGTAGTCCTGAAACACAAAAAGACAATTTTAATAATAATCCTTGCATTCGATATAGCGCCTTATCAGTTCGGCAAGACGTCTCAAAGTACCTCAGCACTGCCAGAATATACTGTAGATGAATTGTTCTTAAATTTTGTGCGCAAAATGCAGCAGCCAATTGTGCACAGCAGTGTCCCACAAACAGTTTCAGTGACCAAATTATTATTTGTTTGTTTGTTTGTTTATTTATTAATTATATTTATTTTATTTTTGATGGATCATTGCTCCCGGAAAGTGGTCTGCCAATTGACTAACAACCGGGTTCCTACGTACTGCTAGGTGAACAGAGACTTGTGGAGTAAGGAAACTTGCGTAAGGTTTCGCCCAGGCTCTCGCTTGTGAGGCGAGTGCTCTATTCTATATTCTACAGGACTCCACATAATGTTCTTCTCCTAATTTTTTTTTTGGTGGGGGCTTTATTATAATAATATTTTTTGCATTTGGTATAGTGCCTTTCATAGTGTTTCGCCGACAACATACACAGTCATTCCACTTTACAATCTATTCTGTGAGACGCTTTGAGACAACATTTTATCGCTTTGACATAATTTTTCACCACAGTTTGTAGAATATGGTAATAATAAATGCGCGCATTTGTTACAGCGCCTTATCACACAATTGAACAGCCACAAGTGCATTTTGAAAACAATTGCATTTCAGAAGCCCTTTGAGACATTTTATATCAATCACAAGGTTGAGTATTACATCAACTGCAAGAGTGGCCTTGAGTCACGTACATTAGGTATAGGTAACGTTATGAACGGCTGAATGCCCCCCTTTTGAGATCTGAAGCCACTTCTAATCTTCCATTATCCCCCTTACACCAGTCATCATTTTCTCACTGTTTTGGAAGAATGAATCGATTAAACCCATAAGCAGGATCACGAGGAAGCATATTAATATTGCAAGCTTGTCTGTGGGTGGGAAAAACTAAGATGCACCTTCTATTGTGCTAAACACTTCAAAATCTCATTTCTATCAATAAAACCGTAGTCTATTGAGTCTTAGAAATGTTACTTTTTAATAATGTAGTAAGTCGGAATTTAATAAGACGTTAACACTAGAACAGATTAAAGATATGTCAGCATGAAAGAGAAGGATTTAACTTAGCCAGTTTATATTTAATACAGGGAAATATAATGATATTTCCACACCCTGTCAGTCACTTCAAACACCCTATTGGTCAACAGTTCCCTGGTGCAGATTCCAGCTTGCACTTAATATTTGCTCACGATGTTATCAGAATACTGAGGTTTGATGAGACCTTACAGCAATTACTTGTGAAGCGCTTTGAGATATTTTGATTGATGTTCTGAGTCATATGCAAGAAGTTCATCATTTCACAGCAGTACAAGGGCTTCTTGTGAATTCACAATAGCTTTTGTATTCACTAGTGGAACACGGGAACATAGAAAAATACTAGATGAAAAAGATTAAGGTCCATCCATCTAATAACTGAACCCAGTTATTAGTCGATTGGCAGATCTCTTTCTGGGAGTAATAGTCGCTCTATATAAAAAATAGTAATAATAGTCACTCAATCCACAACTGTTTGTGGGAATTGGCTGCCGTATTTCGCTCATAAAATATAGAGTCAATTCACTTTTCAGTATTTCTGTGAAGCACTTTGAGACATCTCAACAACATGATAAGGCTCTATATCAAATGCAAGATTCTTCTTATCCTTCTTATGTTCTGTACCACAAAATATTATTTCCTGAAAGAAATCTACCCAATTTGCATTTGAAAGAATCAATTATTTCTGTTTTCACCATGTCCCCAGGGAAGCTGTTCCATAGATTTACCACTCGCTCACTGAACATCCAACATTAGAATGCAATTTACCTTCATATAGCTCATGTTGGCAGGATGTCCCAAAGTGTTTGACAGGTGGGTGGGTTTGGATGGCGGGAAGATGAATGGAAGTGTGATCAGAGACGTATGAGATACTCTGAGACACTACCCTGAGGGCGATATATAAGTGCACGTTGTTGTTGTCAAGTTGTTTTTTCCAGGCAATAGTAAAAATATTTAACCCTTCAGGTCCAATATGCTAAATGTGATTTGCCAATAAGCTGTCTTACTTGAGTGAGTAACTTTCACAGATGCATGACAGTAAACAATAGTTTTCAGTGCAAGTTACCTAAAGGGGATAAAAGATCATCAGCTTTTAGGCACAGAACTTGTAGTGGAATGCCCAGCCTGAAATTTATCTCTTTTTGTCCCCTCTGTCCTCCTTGTCCCATTTCCAATGTTTGATTTAAGTTGGTTCAAGGCTGCATTGTAATGAAACAAATATTTTCCAGTCTGCAGGGAGTTTATACTTGATAAAGTATTCCCGTGTGATCTTTCACAATGCTTTCAATCTTTGACACTTCGGTAACCCTTAGATCAATTGATTGCTGCTGTGCGAGTTGGCTTTATCAATATTTGTTCATTATGTTTCAACATGTAATTGAAATAAAAACATGCTAATTCCAGTTCAGTGGTGTCGGTGTATGTTACAGGTACTGTTAATTTAATGCATCGAATGTACGATGAAGTAATGAAGCATTTTGAAATCAATTAAAGAAATTGTTAACTGTGAAATGTGTTGTTCTGTTCCATGGAGGTGTT